GTGTTTGTGTAGGCTGCTAGTGGGGTAGCCCATATGGGGTACAACCCAATGTTAGGGTTAGCTTATGTACCCAACTCTTCATCAATGCATTCATTCTTGTCTTTAGATTCTAACATAGGAAAGTTGGTTGGAAACTTGGTTGAGTTGGATTAGGAAGGGCTATAGTGGTTTGGAATAGTTAAGGAGAAGTTGGTTGACTTAGGTTGGAGAAGGTGAGTTGGAAGGAGAAGTCTTAGAAGTTGGGTAATATGAGTGGGTTTGGAAGAGTTGGGTAACTTTGGGAAGGTAGGGAGGAAAGTTACGAGGGCATTTGAGGGGAAGGGGTTGGAATGGCACATTGGTGTGGCACGTGACGAGCGTGCCATTCACAACACTTCCCCTCATTGCAAGCCCATGTTCTCAAATCCAGCGGCTGGGACTAACCTGGCTTGAACACGGTTGTTGGTGAAGATGTCGCGTGCAACGACCTTGGTGAGGAAATCAGCCGCTTGCTCAATCGTGCGGCAAAACAGGGGCTCAACGATTTTCTGCTCCACAAGCTCTTGAACGTAGTGATACTGCGTCGCGATGTGCTTGGTCCTCCCGTGGAAGATGGGGTTCTTGGAGAGAGCGATCGTCGACGTGTTGTCGATGAAGATGGGAGTGGGACTCTCTTGTGGGAGGTCAAGCTCCTTCAAAAGACCTCTTATCCACACTGCTTCTCGGGCTCCTTGGGTCGCAGCCATGTACTCTGCCTTCGTGGTTGATAAAGCCACACAGCTCTGCTTTTTTGACTACCAAGAGATGGCCGCCCCTCCAAGCATGAAGATGCATCCTCCAGTAGACCTGCAAGTAGGGATATTCCCAGCCCAATTTGCATCCGTGAAGCCATACAGCATGCTTGCACCCTCAAACCCTTGAAAGAGGAGGCCAAAGGAAGAGGTTGATTTGAGATAGTGCAAGGCACGAAGTGCCCCACGCTGGTGCATGCGAGCGTGTGATGTCATTTATCGAAAGAGCATGGCAACAGTGTGGGCTAGATCAGGACGGGTGCAAATGGAGGCGTACATAAGGCTGCCCACTTGGCTCTGGTAGAGTGAGAGCTCAAGGGGTGTGATGTGGCATGTGGACTGTGGTGCATAGGTGTCATGACCAATATCCTTAGGAGACTCAAGGCTCTCGACCTCACCCTCAAGCTCAGTAGCCTCTGAATCAACGGTGGAAGGGTCAAGGCTTTGCTCTTGCGAGCTCAGCGTGAAGTCTGAGGGGAGTGGGGTCTCGACTGGGTTACAGTCAAGGAGACCAAACCTTGAAAGAACCTTCTCAGTGTACCTCTGTTGTGAGATGAAAAGTGACTTGGTGGTGCGGTCCCTCACGATGTTCATACCAAGGTAGTGTGAGGGCTCACCCATGTCCGTCATGATGAAATCTCGGGTGAGCATACCTTTGATGCGTGTGAGGAGACTCAAGGATGCTGACACAAGGAGGATGTCATCCACATAGACTAGGAGCCACAAGGACTTCCCATCACTTGTGCGTACGATGTACAGTGCGGCGTCGAACTGTGACTTGGTGAAACCTTGGGTGAGGAGTGATGCCTCAAGGGTGTGGAACCAGACTCGTGGTGCTTGCTTTAGTCCATAGAGGGACTTTAGCAGCTTGCAGACCTTGGTGGTACCATCGGAGTAACCCTCAGGCTGTACCATGTTTGTCGAGCTTACCATAGATAAAGGCATTCTTCGCATCCATTTGATGGATGTGGAGATCCTTCACTGTGGCCATTACGAAGAGGCACCTGACAGTGGTGTACTTGGCTACAGCAGAGAAGGTCTCTGTGTAGTCCGTGCCTGGCATCTGTGAGAAACCTTTGGCTACCAGGCGTGCCTTGAATCGGTCAAGTGTACCATCTCCCTTCACTTTCACTCGGTATGTCCACTTATCCTTCAGTGCTCTCTTACCAGGAGGGAGTGGTGCCAGGACCCATGTGCCTTGTGCAAAGAGGTTGTTATCTCTCTCTGCCTTTAACCATTCTCTCTCTCAGCGCTTGCCAGTGCTTGCTTGCGAGTGGATGGCTCAGGTGGGAGGCAACTGATGGCGTGACACATGGCGACTACCTTGCAGTCCATACAGTGAGGGTTGGTGCACTGTGCTGTGACTGGGAAGCATGCACCGACTGCGAGGTTCATGCGCTGGACTGGCTTACGTGCTCGCTTGGGACGTTGTGCGTGCTTAGTGATACCTTGGTGACTCGTGTTACCATCCGGGATGGTTGGAGGTGCTAGTGGTGTGATTGTCTCAAGAACATCGTCAGGTAGTTGAACGGGTTGGAGAGTCTCGTCTGCTGCGACTGGGACGATAGTTGAAGTGTTCACAGGAGATGAAGAAGTAGACTGCACGTTTGAAGGCGACCCCTTTGGGGTTGACTGCTGCTCGGGTGTTGATTGCTGCTCGGGTTGAAGTGAAGGCGGCACATCGGCAAAGAGCGGGTGAGATGCGCCTTTCGACTCTTGTTGACTCTGCTGTGACTCATGGGGAGGTGTGGTGGTGTCAGGTACAGATGGAGATGGTGTGGTGACTCCAACGGGTGCGTTTGAAGAGGGCTCTACCACGGGTGTTGAGATGAGTCCTGATGGAGTGGGGAGAGCATCTTGGGGAGTAGGAGAAGGAGGGAGAAAAGATAACTTCCATCGAGCAAGGGACATGTCTTCATGGAAGATCACGTCCCTGCTCACAATCTCTTTGGAAATGAGAGGATCACAAAGGATCCAGCCCTTGCTCTCCTTGCTCACCCGAAGATGCATGCCCCAGCATGTTTTGATCTCAAACTTTCTTCTCTTCTCATCTGGAATGCGGTATTGCGCCATGCACCCAAACACCCGCAACATGGAAACATCGGGCTTCTTCCCATGCCATGCTTCAAATGGGGTGATACCTGACGGAAGAGCGGTGGTTGGGCAACGATTCTTGAGGTGGACGGCATGGTTCACAGCTTCTTCCCACCATGCATTATCTAGCTTCATGTGCAAGAGAAGAGATCTTGCAATTTCCTGCAGGGTGCGGTTGAACCTTTCGGCAATGCCGTTCTGCTGAGGGGTGTAGGGGCATGAGGGTGCGGTTGAACCTTTCGGCAATGCCGTTCTGCTGAGGGGTGTAGGGGCATGAAAACTCTTGTGCAATGCCAATGGATGAGAGTTGGTTTCGGAATGACTTACTCGTGTATTCTCCCCCTCTGTCCGAGTGCAGAGTCTTGACTTGAAACCGGTTGTGTTCTTGATGTGCTCATGACACACTTTGAAGGGATGAGTGGAGGAGATAGGATAGCTGTGTTGACTTGGTAGGGGATGTGAGGTAGTAATCATAAGGTCCTTGGAGATGAGGTGGCAATTTTGGTGACTTGGGAAAGGAATGAATGAATGAATAAATGAGAAGCATGTGGAGGTTGATGACTAGGAAATGGAGGCATGTGCTTGAAGGCACATGGGAGGAGGATAATTGTATGAAGTAGATGACTTGGGTAATCTTTGATGAGTAGGAAAGGAAAGCACATGGAAAAACATGAGGAGTCATGTGCCTTATGGTGGGGCTTGGAGGTGAATCGGAAAGTTGGTTGGAAACTTGGTTGAGTTGGATTAGGAAGGGCTATAGTGGTTGGGAATAGTCAAGGAGAAGTTGGTTAACTTAGGTTGGAGAAGGTGAGTTAGAATGAGAAGTCTTGGAAGTTGGGTAATATGAGTGGGTTTGGAGGAGTTGGGTAACTTTGGGAAGGTAGGGAGGAAAGTTACGATGGAATTTGAGGGGAAGAGGTTGGAGTGGCACATTGGTGTGGCACGTGACGAGCGTGCCATTCACAACAGAACCATCATTATTATTGGTCATGATGTTGTCAACGGGAGTTGTATGTTGGCCCCGTCCTCGCTTGGGCGGTGCCGACTTCGTGGTCGGGTGTAGGGTGCAGCCGACCTGCAGCAGTGGGCGAGTTGGTCGACGAGGTTGGTCGACCTGCACGGGGAGCCACTGCATGGGCGCCGACTTCGTGAGGGCGCCAACTTCGGGTGGTCGACCTGGGCAGTCGACCAGACCTTCTGGTCGACCTGGGAAGTCGACCAGACCTTCTGGTCGACCTGGGAAGTCGACCAGACCTTCTGGTCGACCTGGAGTGACGTCGACTTGGAGCTGGTCGACCAGGGGGTAGTGGTCGACCTGGGGAGGTCGACTGGAGGTGGCCGTCGACTTGGGAGGTCGACCGGCACATACCAGAGGCAGTGGTCGACCTGGGGAGGTCGACCGGAAGTGGTCGTCGACCTGGGTGGTCGACGGGCACGCACAGGAGCCTCTGGTCGACCTGGTTGCTCGGTCGACCAGGTTACCTGGGTGACGAGGTTCTGCGGAGGCATGCGACGTTCGCCCGGGTGGTTTTGGCGAGGACGACCTCGGTGATGGTATCCCGAGGTCGACGTGGTGCATCAGAGGCAGTCGTCAGCACGTAGTTGATGTGGTGTGTGCGCTGTGCAGGTGACGAGGCACTGCACGCCAATCATCTGCGAAGTAGGTGCGCTGCTGTCCTGCGGGAGCAACGTCGGCGCGCCGTCAACCTGCGACGTTGGCACGCCGTCGACCTGCAGTGTTGGCAAGCCGCGACTCTGCACTGCTGGGGCGCGGTCGACCAAGTCGTGCTGGCACGCGGTCGACCGTGCTGCGCTGGCAGTCGTCCTGCTTGCATGCTAGCTCTGATGTAGTCTTGCCTTGCCAACTTCATTGTACCATTGTTGTCAACTTTCTCTAGTGAAACTCTTGCCAAATTACCTTGTGAACTAGCAAGCAGTGTGTACACTAGGAAAACGACTAAGGACCAACGAACGCAGAGATCACACGAGCACCCGTGCCTAGTCCGTAGTCTAGCTCCCGTTGTAGTAGTTATCTCCGCAGATGTAGCCATGTCGAGCACGCCATAAGCGCGCCCCACAGTGTACGGCACGTACAACACCAAGCCGACACAGCCATGGGGCACTCTGGAGTGCAAAATGCAGGCAGCCCTTTCGGAGCGCGGTGTGGAGTGGAGACGATTATGGGAGCCGCGTTTGCAGGTTAGGTTTCGAGCGTCGCGGAAATTATGGGCGCGGATTCAGAACATTCGTTGCCAAACACCTTTCGTTCGAGAGCTCGTGTCTGTGGTCGAGTGGCGTAGTTACGGCTGTCATGGTCGAGAACGTTATTTCCCTGTGCGGACATTTATTGCTGCGCAGCGAGAGCTGCAGCATCGCCGTCCCAGCGACTTGATTCTAGCCTTCTTGGGAGTATTAAATACGGCCCATATGGAAAACGCGCTCCCTGGCGTATACGATAGTGAGCCTCCCTTTACGCATTGAGGATACGCACTCATCTCGCATGCTAGCCACTTCCTCTGCAGCCCTGCCGTACTCGCCTGTCTCGCTCGCGTCGCTGACTTTGGATTGTGTCAGTCCGTCTCTGCTCAAGATTCAGTCCTGACGTATCGCCGCTTTGTGCGGTGCTGTATCAATCCGTTGCATCATCCTGTCGCTTCTGAAGCTGCATTCAATCTCGACTGCTGAAATTGCTGCATTCACAATCCAGTCCACCTCGCGGCCCGCTTTTGAGACGTCTCAAAATGCATTCACAATCCAGTCCATCTCGCGGCACGGCCTGCTGCGAAATTGCTGCTTTTGTCACGCTGCGACGCTAGTACTACCGCGCCGCGCCTCATTATTTCCCTCGCCGCTACCTTCCCTTGCCAGGAGCACCCGCGATGCCGGGATACTCCGAGGCCGCAGTCGCGCTGATCGTCGCCGTCATCCTCCTTGGTGAGTCGTAAGCTCGGAAGAACACGGCCCATGCTCGTGAACAACTCGCAGAACGTGCATGTCATCGTAACTTACGATTGAAGTCGGTTGGGCATGCATGCATTCACGATGCCACTCGCAACGCCACTCCACCGCGCCCGACTTTGCCCTTTCCCGTGTCACATCCTCTCTGCCGTGTCACATCCTCTCTGCCGTGTCACATCCTCTCTGCCGTTTCACATCCTCTGTGCCGTGTCACATCCTCTCTGCCGTGTCACATCCTCTCTGCCATGTCACATCCTCTCTGCCGTGTCACATCCTCTCTGCCGTGTCACATCCTCTCTGCCGTGTCACATCCTCTCTGCCGTGTCACATCCTCTCTGCCGTGTCACATCCTCTCTGCCGTGTCACATCCTCTCTGCCGTGTCACATCCTCTCTGCCGTGTCACATCCTCTCTGCCGTGTCACATCCTCTCTGCCGTGTCACATCCTCTCTGCCGTGTCACATCCTCTCTGCCGTGTCACATCCTCTCTGCCGTGTCACATCCTCTCTGCCGTGTCACATCCTCTCTGCCGTGTCACATCCTCTCTGCCGTGTCACATCCTCTCTGCCGTGTCACATCCTCTCTGCCGTGTCACATCCTCTCTGCCGTGTCACATCCTCTCTGCCGTGTCACATCCTCTCTGCCGTGTCACATCCTCTCTGCCGTGTCACATCCTCTCTGCCGTGTCACATCCTCTCTGCCGTGTCACATCCTCTCTGCCGTGTCACATCCTCTCTGCCGTGTCACATCCTCTCTGCCGTGTCACATCCTCTCTGCCGTGTCACATCCTCTCTGCCGTGTCACATCCTCTCTGCCGTGTCACATCCTCTCTGCCGTGTCACATCCTCTCTGCCGTGTCACATCCTCTCTGCCGTGTCACATCCTCTCTGCCGTGTCACATCCTCTCTGCCGTGTCACATCCTCCTTCTCCCTTCCCCGTGTGCCATCCTCCCTGTCCTGCCGCCTCGCAGTGAGTGAGGTCGAAGTGTCGCTGGGAGCACGTGCCGCCAACAGCACGACTGCTGGCAACGCCAGTGGCGACTCCGCTGTTACCACGGGTGCGAGCATGCCGATGGTTGCCACTGGTATTCGGGGCGCGGCGAGCGCCGCGAGAGCGGGGAGCGCGGGACGCGAGGGGAGCGTGGAGAACGACACGGTGAACGCGGAGCTGCGCGTGGGCATGGTGTTGCTCGCCGGCTCGCTCGCGCAGCCGCGCTCCATCTCCTTCACCCTGAGGCTCTGCCAACCCGTGTCTGATGTCGCTGGGGCAAGCGGCGGCGACTTTTGAGCCGACTTAAAAGTCACCTCGTCTCCTTCGATTCGACCTGGGGTGCTGCGAGCCCGTGCTCGAAATGGGGGGGGAGAGGGACGTGTTCTTGGATCGCACGGTGTGCAACGCGGAGCAGCTGTTCGCGTCACTCGACTGCTCGGGCACACCCGCGGCAAAATACCCGTTTGCGGGGTACATGAGGTGAGAAGCACCCATTTACGGGGCACAGAAGCCGCTAGATACCCAATTTCCCACGTGCCCCTATGCGCCCCTACCGCACTCCTTAACCCAACCCCATCCCCCTCCCTCCCATCACGCTTCATCGCCTCCCCTCCCCCGTTCGCCCCTTCGCCGGTGCACATGTGACCAGTGCCATCAAACCCCTACCCTATCCGCCTCTCCTCACGCCCTGAACCGACCTTCCACGCAGCGCTCCCCCCATGCGCGTGTGAGCAAACCCATCAATCCCCCCTCCCGTGCGCCCCTCCAAACCCATCAATCCCCCCTCCCGTGCGCCCCTCCAAACCCATCAATCCCCCCTCCCGTGCGCCCCTCCAAACCCATCAATCCCCCCTCCCGTGCGCCCCTCCAAACCCATCAATCCCCCCTCCCGTGCGCCCCTCCAAACCCATCAATCCCCCCTCCCGTGCGCCCCTCCAAACCCATCAATCCCCCCTCCCGTGCGCCCCTCCAAACCCATCAATCCCCCCTCCCGTGCGCCCCTCCAAACCCATCAATCCCCCCTCCCGTGCGCCCCTCCAAACCCATCAATCCCCCCTCCCGTGCGCCCCTCCAAACCCATCAATCCCCCCTCCCGTGCGCCCCTCCAAACCCATCAATCCCCCCTCCCGTGCGCCCCTCCAAACCCATCAATCCCCCCTCCCGTGCGCCTCTCCAAACCCATCAATCCCCCCTCCCGTGCGCCCCTCCAAACCCATCAATCCCCCCTCCCGTGCGCCCCTCCAAACCCATCAATCCCCCCTCCCGTGCGCCCCTCCAAACCCATCAATCCCCCCTCCCGTGCGCCCCTCCAAACCCATCAATCCCCCCTCCCGTGCGCCCCTCCAAACCCATCAATCCCCCCTCCCGTGCGCCCCTTCAAACCCATCAATCCCCCCTCCCGTGCGCCCCTCCAAACCCATTAATCCCCCCTCTCGTGCGCCCCTCCAAACCCATCAATCCCCCCTCCCGTGCGCCCCTCCAAACCCATCAATCCCCCCTCCGATCCCCCCTTTCTCTGTGCACGTGTGAGCAGCCCCATCAAGCTGCGCGTATCAGTGAAAGCCATTCGCTGCGTTACCAGCGCGTGCCCTGCTGCTGCCATGCTTCTACTGCTATTGCTATCTGTTTCCCCTCGTGCCCTGCTGCTGCTATGCATTGACCTTTTCTGCTGCATCTATTCCCATTCATGCCCTGCTGCTACCTTGCTTCTGCTGCCACCGTGCTACTGCTGCTGCCATGCTTCTGCTGCTATTGCCATCTGCTTTACCGCGTGCCCTGCTGTTGCCATGCATTTACCTTTCTGCTGCATCTATCCCCATTCATGCACTGCTGCTACCATGCTTCGCCTGGTATGGCCATATATTTTGAGACGTCTCAAAACACTACTGCTGCCATGCTTCTGCTGGTATGGCCATCTATTTCCCTGGGTGCCCTGCTGCTGCCATCCATAGGCCTTTCTGTTGCTCTTGCCATATTCCGCCGTGCATACCCTCATGCTACCATGCATGCCCTGATGCTACCATGCATGCCCTGATGCTACCATGCATGCCCTGATGCTACCATGCACGCCCTGATGCTGCCATGCATGCTGCTGCATGCTGAGCCGCAGTCGCTGCTGCCACCTGTGCCTTTCTGCTTGCATGCTTGCACCTTTCGCTGCAATCCATGCCTCCATGCCTCCATCCCTCCATTGCATCTCACTCCATGCCTCCGTCCCTCCATTGCACCTCACTCCATGCCTCTTTTTCCATTGCATCTCACTCCATGCCTCCATCCCTCACACCCATACTCCGATGTGATCCAGACAACATCTGCAGCAGTGCCTGCCTAGTGCCCGGCACACTCCACGTACACAAAGATGAACGACTATAAGGGGGTGGCATGCCAGTGCGCCCAGGGCTGCCGTTGCATTTGGCCAATGCAACCTAAATAGCGTCCTCTCCCTTAGTAAGTTCACCACACTCAAAATCTACCGCACTTCTACTGGCGGTGCCAACCCCAATAACCCACCTCCCCCTATAAGCCCCCCCCCCCCCCCTAAAATGTTCGTCAAATTGTCACCTAAAATGCTCACCGTGACCCAAAAGGCACCCCTACCAGTTCAACATGAATCAATACTCGCCTTCAAAGTCAATCTTGATTCTAAAATCACCCGAAAGGCCTTCTGTGATATCTACGGCCAATGCTAGCCCCTGTAGCCCCCTTTACACCTTCCCCTCTCCTCTCTCAATCAATCTGCTGATTGTTGATCCTTGCCTCGTCTGCTGCAGAGCCCCTGTTACGGGGAAACTAGAGTGGCAGGTCCTTTCAGGCTGTCACTCGCTGGATGCCTAGCAACCCTGCCTAGAAGAGCCTGTTTCTAGGAGTTATTGGTGGCTGCTGCTGCACAATGCCCTGAAGTTGTGTCTCTCGAAGTTGTCAATCAAAATGACCCAATTAAAAAGGTTGTTCATTGTGCCAGAAGATTATATACAAAAAAAAATCATTATTTGCTAGCCTTTATTTTCACACATGCTAGCCTGCATTGTTATTTGGCAAGATTGAAACACGCCTATACTTCCAACAAGAAGTGAAAAGCATTATAAAAGCTCCTGTCGTGTATAAGGGGGAGCGAGGAGGCAACAGGTCACTCGTGGATAAGGGCGCGTGTGATTGTTTTCTAGGTTCAGAAATCAGGTCGAACTTAGAATGGTTACCATTCTCGTTTTAGTCGCCAAAAGAGTCTGGCGAAAACTTTCTAATCTGAACACATGACAAGTGCGACCTGAATATGAGAACTCGACTCGACTCATTAAATGAACGTGCGCGAGCACGTTGAATCGAACGTGTGCACTTCTGGGCATGCTGGATGGTTTGGCGAAATTATTCAGACATACGAAAAGTCCCCCTGCCGAAAACGCGAAAATAGTCGCGATGTCTGAAAAAACCACGTGTCAGGAACCGGGGTACCAAAGGGGTCGAATCTCGACATTCGACCAAAGTTGTGTTGTTGTGATTGGTTTGAAAAATAACGTGCGAACCTCGGTAACACCGAAAATCGACTACAGTTCGCCATGAAATCAAAAGGGAAATTCTCCTAAAAAATGAGAACTTTGCAGTTTTCAAAAATCACACGCGCCCTAAGCCACCCATCGCAGTAAAGAACCCGCGACCCGAACTAAAAATTAGGGCGTGTTACATGTTTTGAAATCGCTGAAAGTACGGACGATTGTCTTGACGCGTGCGAGTATGCGACGTCGTGCGGTCGCCTTGCGACCAATGCGATGTTGTAAGCCAGCCAAACGACGCAAGCGACGTCTTTTAGACCCTGACGAACTCACTATCGATGTTGATCGATATTTGTAACCACGCCATTGTCCGGCCGGTTTGCCGTCCGGACGAAAATGTAAAATAATGTAACACGCCCTCAGTCTGTGCTCACATGTTGTGCGGGCTGCTGTTGTGATTTCTTCCTTTAGCCTCCCCTCCCCTCCTCCGTTCTCCTTCCTCTTTACACTTTTACTGTGCCCCCTAACCCGACACGTGAAAAGATGGCTGGATTATGTTCGCGAAACCTAAAAATATAGCAATGAACGAGTTGGTCCTGCCGTAATGCGACATCTAAAAATACGGCAGTGAGCAACATCGGCTGTGAACGAAGCTGAGTCATTCGTGGCGGAGAAGCATCCGCCGGCCCGCGCTACATACACCATTTTCCTAACGCCACGTGGCGTAGCTGCGCTCGCGAATATAACAAACGAGACGTTCTCGCGGATTTCGTGGTTGTCCAGACAGAACCGAATTAGGTGCATGTTCAGTACCATACGTTGCTCAACCGAGCAAACCGAGCCGCAGGGGCTTGTAGACCACGTTTGGTTGCCCGTCCCCAAACTTCATAGGGACGGCATCGCGCTTGTGATACACGTAGGCAGACTGCTGCGACTAGGTTGGGCATCGCCTGTAGTAATCCCCAGGGATTTTTCGACAGCTCATGCTGCGTACGCGCACCTGATGCCTCACGTGGCCCACGTGGCGCGGCAACGGGTGGCGGGTGGCCTCTCGAGCGTTGCGCGTACGCGCACCTGGTGCCTCACCTGGTGGCGCGGCACGGTCGCCACTATCCCCCCCGGAGGGCCCCGCGTTCCAATATGGGCCGTATCGAAATACGCGGGGAATAGTAATATCATATTCGTGGTGGTGACCTCTCATCGAGTATAATTGAGACAAACTCATCGGCGCTTCTCGGAGTATCATCATCGAGGGCTCCGACGCGTTGCTATGCATCCCTGAGTTAGTAGTTACCCGCCTCGCTGCCTCTGGGTTACATCAGTCCGTCGCTTCTGACTCCAACTCTCCCGTCCATCTCGAGATCATCGCGATCGCGGCGCCCCGTAGCGGAACCGCCGCTTTGTGCTTCGATCGCTTCCGAAGCAACCGTGACGTGGCACCCCTCGGCGCTACTCGTACCTTCGCTCGCCACGAGCACCCGCGATGATGACGATGACGATGATGGCGGAACATTCCAAGGCCGCAGCCGCCGCCGCGCTGCTCGTTGTCGCGCTCATCGGTACGCGTCCCTTTGTCGCCGCGATGACCGTGAATGTGCCATGCGGCATGCCCGGCATGCTCACAGAATCTTCTTCCATAAATGAATTTAATCGCAATTCTCGCCCGTGGCTGACTTTTGCCCTTCCCCGTATGACGGCCTCCGTGCCAAGCTGCTGCTCTCCCTTCCCCCTTTCCCTACCATGTCACCCATCCTTGCGGCAGCGAGTAACGCCGGAGCGTCCCTGGGAGTACCTGCCGCCGCCGACGGC